AAAAATACTGAAGAAAATAACACCTTAAAAAATAGCCTAACCCAAATGGCAAAAGAGGTCCAAAAAGCCAATGAGGAGAAGAATGCCTTAAAAAGCAGAACTGGCCAAATGGAAAAGGAAGTCCAAAATACTGAAGAAAATACTTCCTTAAAAATTAGAATGGAGCAATTGGAAGCCAGTGACTTTATTAGAAATCAAGACATTGTAAAACAAAACCAAAAGAATGAAAAAATAGAAGACAATGTAAAATATCTCACTGGAAGAACAACTGACCTGGAAAATAGACCCAGGAGAGTGGACTATCTGAAAGCCATGATCAAAAAAAGAGCCTAGACATCATCTTTCAAGAAATTATCAAGGAAAACTGCCCTGATATTTTAGAACCAGAGGGTAAAATAGAAATTGAAAGAAAGATCCTTCTCCTGCTAAGGTTTAAAAAAATTTCTTTTGTTGACTGTTAAAGGCACCTTTTGTTTCAACACAAAACCTAAAGTAGGAGGGGTCATTCAGTAACCCCCATGGTCTCCAGAACACAATGATCACAGAACTATGGGAGCAAATAACTCAAGGGGTGATGGAAGGGCCATGGCAGGCAGAAGCAGGCACCAGCAGGGCCCTATCAATGACTTGCATGGAACACCCAGCACAAAAGCCATCTCTGAGGAAATCTAGACTGAAGGTGGGAGTGGAACACTCACATACTGTCAATAGAAGGAAACAAACTGAGTGGCCCAATGATGTCCCTGTGATACAGAGGGAGCAAGGAGAAGAAAACCTCCTACACATCTGGGAAATCCCTCTGTGGGAAACTTGTGATAAAACCTGGCTGATCTCCACTGGATAAAAAGGAACCCATGGGCTGTGAGCTGGCACTGTGGAAGGTGTGCCAATGCTGAGGATGTCCTCTATCACCGTGGATTAATGGCAGACCGTTGTTGTCTGACTTATCTGACAGTACGGACTAACACACACTTCTAACACCTTCTTTTCAGTTTTCCAAAGTGCCCCACTTTGTAATTATGTCCCTCTTCATTCCAAAAGGGGGCGAATAGAAAATGAAACAAAGTGGAAAATGAAGCACAAGGACCATGGCAATGTAAATGAAAGATGATTCAAAGGAAGCTGAACTACAAGATCCTGAAAAGGAAAGAACAAAACGTACCTCCACACAATGGAGAGATCAGGGGTGAACATGAACAAAGTGACGGAATTCATGTTTTGGTTTGCTTTTCTGTGTCCCAGGTGTGAGTATGATCTAGAGCAGGTGAGAAATGACTCAGAGAGGAGAAAGGCATCAGTGAAATGCTTCTAAAAATACACGTGATAAATACGAATTTAAGAGTTTCTCAATGTCCAAGTCCTCGGGTCCCACTGACTTAGGGACAGTTCAAGCTAGGAGAAAATGGGTCCTTCTGCACCCTTCCACCACCATTCCATTCAGGACACCCTGTCTCCATCGAGTCTCTTTCTGTTGTTTCGCCTGACATGAATGTCCTCTAACATATACCATGGACAGACGAGATAGGGATGTCAGGAACCAGAGAGAAGGCTACAGGCCTCATTGGGGTCCAATCACTGCACTGGGAAGGAGGAACAGAAACGGTTGAAGGGCGCTGAAATTCCATCCAGCTCAATCAGCTGGCAAGCATTTAATGAGGACACGCTCTACGCTGGACCCCGTGAAAGGCGCTGAGGGGACGAGAACAAAACAAAATCACTCCCGCCCTCTTCAGATCCGGCAGCTGACTCCAGGTCCCGGGCCAGAACAAACTACGTGCTTAGGCAGTGGAAGAACCTGCGGCTAGGTTCTTGTGCTTCTGCTGGCCCTCTCTACAAGATCGCATGTATTTGTCTCCCTGGAGAGAAGGCCAAGAACTATTTCCTTCTCACCATCATCTGCACAGGGCCTAATCCAGTGCCTGGTACCCAGGAGACACTTTAGAAATGTGTGTTGACCTACAGGAAAACTGAAGGGGAAGGGAATAAGAGAAGGGGGGGGGGGATGGAAGGGGGGGCAGATTAGGGGAAGGGGTATTCAGAATGCATGCCATCTTGGGGTGGGGGGAGGGACGAGATAGGGAGAAAATTTTGAACTCAAAATCGTGTGGAAGTAAATGGCGAAAACTAAAAATTAATTAATTAATTAAAAAAATAGAATGAGCTGGTGAAGGAAATGAAAAAAGAAAGTAAAAAACCTGTCTTATCATACTATTCAGAAGGTCTAGTTTGCCAGTTAGGGTGAATATTTTGTCCTGAAAAACCCACCACCAAATACTATCATCTGCGCTTCCACATGTCTGAATTCTATCAAACATGCCAAACACGTAGTCCATCTTGTTATACACAGGAGAAAGATGGGCAGATTCTTTTTACTGGTGGATGGGTGATGATCTCTGTCATGCCTGAGTACTGTTTTGATCTGTTTTGTTTCGCTTGTCTTCCAAGATCCTTATACACGCATCTAGCCTAAACTGTTTACAGATGGAGAATCATGCCTTCTCCTTCCACAATCTCAGATAGATTCAAGTTTAAAAAACATTTAATTAAATAGACATTTATTAAGCGTAAAAAAAAAGAAGAAGCGTGTGCTGATCGGCCACCTGATGGCAAAGAAGAGCAGGTGCCCCAGGGCTGGCCCCTGTTTCCAAGAGGCAGGAGAACGGGCCCGGCAAACTCGGCGCCAGCGGATCCGGTTCGGGTACTAACAAAGCGCTGCCCTGCTGCACCGGATCATGGAGAGAGGATTTCTGGCTCTTGAGAAAGAGAGGCTGCTCCATCAAGCTGATGGTGAAGCTCGCTTCTTGCCTCTTGACAGAGAGGTGGTGGTCTGCAGGGGCAGAGCGGCACCGCACTTCCAGGTGTGGCTGAGACTGCGCCTACTTTGTTCCTGTAGATGGTTCTGTTGGGCAGGGGTTTACAAGGAGAGTCATGGGGAAGAAACTAATTATTTTTTAAAATAGCATCCATAAAACATTTAGAAAATCGTGCTAAGCTAAGCTCCTTCCTTTTTTCTCCACAAGGTCATTAGACCGGTTGGTCAGGAAATGGTTATAAGCACGTATGTTTACATGTCAGCCAAGCATTTAACACAGGGCCTCAAGTTATCCTTTGGATAACCCATCAGTTGGTTAAGCTGCAAGAATTCACTAGGTGCCTACTATGTTCCAGGCACTGAGGACATGAATGCAAAAGCCTGTGCCCTCAAGAAACCTCCATTCTACTAGACTTGAAGAGATTTGAGTTAGACGACGAGTTCTGGTGGATTCTAAACTTCTGAATGATATTTTAGGAGGGACACAGACAAAACGGACAGCTCCCAGGAAAGCCACAAGGCAATCAGAGGGCTCGACAGGCTGGCTGAAGGAACTGGGTATCTTTGACCTGAACAAAAGAAGCCTCTGAGGGATGTGATAAATGTCTTCAAGTACTGAAAAGGCCATAGCGTGAAAGAGGGATGCCCTTCTCCTCTTCAGTCCCAGCAGCAAGAATAAGGAGAGGAGACAGGAGATGCCAAGTGTAAGACGGAGGCTTCCTAGCAACATCATGGCCAAAAGTAGAACGAGACACTCCTGGAGGAGGCTGACAACTCCACCCCCGGAGGGGGTGCCGTGGAGGGGATTCTCATCCCAGGGTTAGAAACGTGTCCGAACGAGATGGCCACTGAGTCTGTGCCACCTCAGACTCTGTGTCTGTGCCAGGCCCACAAATGGACAGAATGGGAAAAGGAGGGACCTAGACAAAGGACTGACACCAGATTCAGCTCCAGGAAGGAGACAGACTGCCTGCATGAAGTCAAGGAAGCACATGATCAGAAAATATCCCCCAGTTCAGTTTAACTGAAATATGTGTTAAATTAAAGGGCGGGGGGGGAGAAAACCAGGCTGCAAAGGTAGCCTGGCACTGCAACAGAAAGGGAGACAAGAGCCTGACTACTGGTGCCCCAAAATGCTTGGGAGAACACCTACGTTCAATCCCACGGGCAACAGAGGGCCGAGGAAGAGCTGAGAGGCTGGGGGACACGGTTAGTCCTGTGCATTAGGAACCTGATTTTGGCAGACACGTGAAGAATGATGGGCAGCCTGGCACAGGAGACAGAGAGCTGGCCTTGGAGCCGAGAAAGACTGAGGTTGAGGCCGACTCGGACCCAGGCTGGCTGTGTGACCCTGCGTAAGTCGGTTAAATTCTCAGGTCTCTAAGACATAAGCTGCAGAGAAAGTGCCAGCCACTATTGGCAAAGGGCATTTCCTCATTGGGAGTTTCCGACACTACAAACATCAGAGGTCCCATCCCAGGCCCTCATCTGGCCTTTCTGTGGACAGACCAGAGTGAGGAGAAATTGAAGGCAGAGACAGACCAGGCAAGAAGTGAGGAGGCCCTGAATTAGGGTGCTGCCAGTGTGAGTGGAAAGGCAAAGGGGACAGAATCATTCTGAAATGACATACTTTGCATCAATTACTGAGCTGTATACCTAAAAACCAGTTAACAAAAATCAAGGCAACTCCAAAATTCCCTAAGTGATTACTTTTAATTTGTTCATTTCAAAAAATTACATGAAGTTTCCAAAAACTTCAGTGACACTACAAGGCATCATGACTACTAAGCAGTCTAAGTATAAAAAAACTGATCACACAAAAGCAGACACAGCAAAATGGCGGGTGTGGCTGTTACAATGCGCCTCTTCCTGCCCTGGGCTATTTTCTAGCATAAATTCCAAACTTCTGGCATAGCTTCTACCCTCCTTGCCACAAAGGACTGGGGGGCACAGCAATCTGCTTTGTCTCCCATAAATTGAGAGTCTGGGAAATTAAGAGTTCTACGGCAATCCTCGAGACAAGGGGCAGGGGAAGGAGATGCCCTGGGTTCTCCTAAAGCCAGGAGGGGCAGCTGCTGCTGCTTCAGACAGACAGGCAGGTAGATAGGTAGGCAGATATATAGGCAGACAGGAAGACAGACAGACAGGCAGACAGCCAGGCGGGCAACTCAGTGTAGCTGCTACTCACCACCAGAAACAGGGCTATCCATTAAAACCGCCCCCATCTTTTCCACGTCCTTTGCCAGCTCTTTCGACACCGCAGGGTCAATTGTGCTGGAATCTATTAATAAAGAACCCTTCTTCACTTTCCTAAGAAATACATAAAAAAATGTCTGTCATTTTCTGTCCTGAATGGACACTTCACATTAAAAACATATGGCATTAGCACTCTGGCCAATCGTTCCAAAGCAATGGAGCAGTTTAAGCCAAATCAAAGGGTGCTCCCCAATAATGGGCTATTCCCCCATTCTCTGAAAAGAAGAAAAAACAGACAAGCACATAAACAATAGGAGCAATCAGTCTCACTGATGTCGGTTTAAAAAAAAGCGAGACGACACGGTCACCACTAACGTGAGCACAAACGGAGAAAACAAGCTTCTTTGTCCCACACCAGCCACATGTGCAAATTTCACATCGCTATACACAGCTTCTCCTAGATAAACCATACGTGATAGTGAGACAGAGAGATAAAGATTCAGAGACAGAGACAGAGAAAGAGACTGAGGGAGGGAGGGAGAGGAAGAGACAGAGAGAAGAAGAGTGGAGGGAAAGGAGGGGGGAGGAACGGGGGGGAGGAGAGGGAAAGAGGAAGAGCGCCCGTCTACCCCCTTTGACACAGTAACCTTCTTTTACTTTGGGCACTGCAGCTTTTCTGAAATGATAACAAAACTGGCTGAAAGGGGAAGTACCAGGCAAATAAATTTGGGGATCCCATAGAGAGTCGCCATTTTTTTTTTCATTCTCCTTGAATTAACATAAAAGGGGATAAGAAAAAAAAAATCCTTCACTTCCACTGCATTTCTCTCTTGCAATGATGTCCCCTTTCTCTAACTGCAGCGGGGCCGCGAGGGGGTGCACAGTGCACAGAAGCCCCAAGTTCAACTCCAGCCTCAGACATTTACTGGTTGAGGGGCCCTGAGCAAGAGACTTAAAAAAAAAAAATCTCCATATGCCTCCATTTCCTCATCTGTAAAATGGGGCTAATAAGAGCCGTCCCTGCTATTGTGTGAGGAGGATAAAATCAGATCATGTTTGCCATGAGCTTGGGAAATCTTACAATGCAATCTGAGTGCAAGTTGCTATTATTAACAAAAATAAAAGCAGAACATTTCTCTTCAAGTAATTCCCATTGATCCATCGCTATTAATGACAAGACAATATTGCGATGCCTTTGTCTAATGCCCAGAAATCCCTTCCCTCCCTCATTAGCTCAGGGCCATCATCCTCCTCTCTCGCGAGAGAACGGCCAGAGCCCCTGATATAGGTAGGATGTGACAAGCTTAAGAACTAAAACTATTTTCACCAAGAATTCAAAAGAATTCACATCCAATTACACAATATAAGTTAAGGAAAATGGAATCTTAGACAAAATTTGGTTTGATAAACTTCTCTAGAACACACTTGCTCTGTATCTACAGGGTTAACCAAGTTATACTGCGCAATCTACAAGTATTTTATTTATTTACTTAGTTTTTGTTTGCAACAGTCATTTTTATAAGATTTTGAGTTCTAAATTTTTCTCCCTCCCTCCCTTCCCCCCTCCCCAAGATGGCATGCAATCTGATATAGGCTATACGTGTATAATCATATTAAATATATTTCCACATTAGTCATGTTGTGAAATAAGAATCTGAACAAAAGGGAAAAACACGAGAAAGAAAAAAGAGAGAAAATAGTATGCTCTGATCTGCATTCAGACTCCATAGTTCCTTCTCTGGATGTAGATAACATTTTTCATCACGAGTCCTTTGGAACTGTCTTAATCTACAGTATTTTTAAAAATATGTTGTAAGGACATTTTTTTAAAAAAATGTAATAAACATTTTGCCTTGTTTTTCAGTCAAAAATATCCACTTTCCCTTTCATTCACAAGTCTTGGACTTCAATATAAATTCTACATAACACTTGGAACAATCCTTCCTCAAATGTTTAGGTGTGAATTACTGCTTGGCTGCAGAACTCTGACAATCTCATCCGACTGGGTGTCAGAAGCACCCTTCAATGCAAGTGGGAGAAGAGACCTCCCGTGTTCAGGTTTAACACATCAATTAGTGAAACTTCACAAAATGCATGTTAGCAAGAGGTGAAATATAAACAACCCTAAGTAGGAAGGCCAAGGGCCACAGTATGACAGCACACCCCCAAAATACCTTCCAATGTAATCTCAATACCTACGTTATTAATTCTCTGATATTAATAAGAAACTTTTACCTCCAAAGTCTACCAACTCTTGACATTTGAAAGCCAACTAGAAAACTCGGAGAACTCCATAGACTGAAGCCTTCCAATTAAGCCATTGCCACGCATTTCCCAGTGTCTGCTGGACTTACATGGTGGAGCTCAAATTCGAGAAGTAAGAAGTGGGTGAAGCCAGAAAACAATCACCACCGAGGACAGGAGCACTGTCCTGATGACTACGAACACCAGACAGGTGGTGGCAAGAAAACAGAGGAGCCACACAGCCCAGTGAAAATGGGATCTGTGCATTTTCAAGGGTTCAAAAACTTTGGCCTGGATGATAAATTCCTGAATCAATAGTTCATATAATATTCATTCATTTATATTTGAATACTTTCCCCCCCAAAAAAAGTACTTCCTGTAAATGTGACCTGCCATGGGCCTTCAATAAATATTAATTAACTCTGATGATCCCAATAATTATCAGTGTTTCATAGAAACCCTACATTCAACTCCTTTCATCTCAAACATAAATAGTATTAAGAAAGCTTCAAAATATTGTTAAATTTTTATTAAATAGTAATATTTATTATATGTTATTATATATTCTATATTATATCATATATAATAGTATATAAATTATTAGTATTAAATTAATTTAAATTAAATTAAATAAAGATTATTAAATATGCAAGTCGCAGCAGGCAGACTATTTAAAAGAGCTAAAGTAACAGACATAACAGCAAGAAATACAAAAACAAGCCTATATCAGTTTGCACACTGTCTTGGGGAGGAGGGAGGAGAAGGAGGAAGGGAGAGAAAATTTAAAACTCAAAAGCTTACAGAAGTGAATGTTGAAAACTAAAAATAAATTAATTAATTAAAAAATAAAATCAAAAGTAAAAAACAAAGAAACATAAAAACATCCAAAGAGAGTTGTAAGGGAGTTAGTGGCAAAACTAAAATTCCTGTTAAAAAAACAAAACAAAACAAAACAAAATAAACAAACAAAAACACAGGAAAATTCCCGAAAAGAAAGAGAAAAACATAATACATATGTTGTTAATGGTTCAAAGGAAGAACCTGAAAGCTCCATCAGAACATGCAGATACGTACTTGAGAATCCCCTTAGGTCCCGTGTAAACTTCTAAGGCATTACTGCTGGTAGGCAGCATCGTAATAATTCGGTCTGCTCTCTCTGCTACATCTGCTGGGGAAGACACCACCTTTTAAAAAAAAATTACACAAGTCATTATTTTAATGTAAAACACGCACACAGCATTAGGCCTGCTTTAAAATTAAAGCTCAGACAGTTGCTAGAACACAATTATGCACAATTACAGTTACTTTGCCAAAAGGTAATACCCAAGATAGTTAGATAAACACATATGCTTACTTTGAGATAACCAAAAAAAAAAAAAAGATCAACCCATGACTTCACTGTCTAAAAGACACATTCCTTCTATTCCTACAAATCCCGTTTCTATGGAATCAAAGTGCACTGTTTACTTTAAGAAGTGTGAAGGGAGCTATGAGAGAAAGGGCAAACCATAGCGGTCTTGGGAACAGACACACGAATTCTCACGGGTTCCTCCAACTTAATGCCTTAGACTGGAAACTCGCTGGTCATATACTTTGGCTGGCTAAAGAAAACATTCTAACACGTCAGGCAGAGCAGCCCAGATACATTACTGACAATGTGGGTTTGTGGGAAGCCAAAGGAAACTGAAGGGGAGGGGGAGGAGGGCATCCTTCAGCCAAGACCTCTAGCCAGTTCACTGCCAGCCTGCATCCTCTTCTAGCAAACAGAAACCTACAGAGTGACACAAGAATAAATTTGAAGGCAAGAACAATATGGAGGAAGGGTCAGGCCAAGAGAGAAGCATTTGTGACCAAGACAGTGAGACTAAGAGGGTGACTGACCATCCCTGTGCATAACTGGGTTGGAATGAAAGAGTACGGTGTCCCCACAAGAGAACACAAGCCTCTTGAAAACAGGGGCTGTTTCGTTTTTTGTATTTCAGTCACTCAATGAACATTTAAGCACCTGTTATCAACCAATCAATAAGCATTTCATAAGGCTTACTACTGCCAAGCACCATGCTAGACCCTGATGATATGATTGATCAACATTTATTAAGCACCTACTTGTGCCAGGCACTGTGCTAAGCACTGGAACATAGACCAGAGCCAGTCCCTGACCACAGGAAGTTTCTATTGTACCATAGTAGACAACAGGTACATACATTAAGTCTATATAAAATAAACGGGCAGCTTTGGGAGTACAGCCCTCGTAGTCGGAAGGATCTAGAAAGATTTGGTGCAGCGTCTGCGCTGAGCTCTGGAGGAAAGGAGGGATTCTAAGAGGCTGAGAGAAGGATGGGGTATCCGGGTACGGGCAATGGAATCTGCAAGGGCAGAAAGACAGGAAGTGGAGAACTGCAGGTAAGGAACAGCAAGTACAGCCACAGCATGAAGGAAGGACAGGCTGGAAAGTGGGACAGCAGCACAGAAACAAGCATTTATGCAGCATTTCTTATGCCCCAAGAACTGTGCTAAGCATGAGAAATGCAAGAGAAAAGAAAGGCAGCCCCTGCCCTCAAGGAGCTTACAGTCTAACACCCAAAATGGAGTTAGAGGAAGAAGAGAAGAAGGAAGGGCAGAAGCCAGGTAGTGAAGAAGGGAAGAGGAAGAAAGTGCAGCCAGCACCGAGGGGAGGAAGAACCAGAGGTCACTGAGAGGACAAAGTACAGGTGTGGGAAGAGCAGAGGACAGGGCAGAGAGGAGGGCCTGGGCAGACGAAGGCACTTCAGAGTTCTTAATCACGTCGGCAGGACGATCGTGGCTGACTCAGAACGAGATACGACCAGTCTGCTGAAGGGACACCGAAGCACCAGCCCACGGCCCCTCTGCTCAAGGGTCTTACAATTTAGCGGAGTGGACAGTAACAGCAGCTCACATTTACAGAGTTTACAAAGCATTATCCTCACAGAGTTTATTATTCCTAAAAGTCAGAACTTGAGGTTTGAAAAGACGTTAAATGATTTGCCCAAGGTTACCCAAGTACTCAACCAAAAAGTAAAAAGTTCTTTCCACTCCAACATACCTCCACGCACACAACATACAACAAAACAGAACAGACATTCTATTATATTAGACCACTACATGCAAAGTGCTCTGAGAACTGTAAGGTAAAAATCATCATTTATGACCAGGAGCAGTAGGCAAAGCTTTCCAAGGAAAGCTTTTCAAGTTGGGTGGGTTCTGAAGATTGGGTGCATTTTAAGAGGCAAATAGGTAAAAGGGGCATAAGCAAGGGGGTACATGGCTGTCATGGGGAACAGCATAAGCAAAGATGGAACCTCTCTGAGAAATGGGTAGTCCTATTTGGGGTAGAGAACGCATGAGAGGGAAGGAGTAAAACTACAAAGGTATGCTGCAGGGAGATTGAGAGAGCCTCAAATGGCAGACTAAGGAGTGTGGACTCCTTATATAAGTAGAAAGTCATCTGGCAGGCAATCGAGTACCACTAGTTTTTGAGCAGGCTGGTTTTCAAAGAGGCAGAAGAACCAGAGACCAAACTGCCAACATTCACTGGATTATGGAAAAAGTAAGGGAGTTCCAACAAACACCTACTTCTGCTTCACTGACTAGACTAAAGCCTTTGACCGGGTGGATCACAATAAAACGTGGCAAGTCCTCAAAGAGATGAGAGTACCAGATCCTCTTACTCGTCTCCTGAAGACACTGTATGTGGGTCAAGAAGCAACAGTTAGAACCAAACATGGAACAACTGATTGGTTTAAGATTGGAAAAGGAGTATGACAGGCGGGACATTGTCACCTTATTTAACTCATACAGAGTACATCATGCAAAATGCCAGGCTGGACAAATCAAAAGCTGGAATTAAGGTTGCCAGGAGAAATATCAACAGCATCATACATGCAGATGATGCCACTCTATGGCAGAAAGTGAAAAGGAAGTAAGAAGCCTCTTGATGTGGGTGAAAGAGGAGAGTGCAAAAGTTGGCTCAAAGCCTAACATCAAAAAAACTAAGATCTTGGCAACCGGTCCCATCACTTCCTGGCAAACAGAGGGAGAAGAAATGGAAGCAGTGTTAGATTCTTTGGCTCAAAGATCACTGCAAACAGCAACTGCAGCCATGAAATGAAAAGACACTTGCTCCTTTGAAGGAAAGCTGTGGCAAATCTGGACAGCAGACTAAAAAGCAGAGACATCACCTTGCTGACAAAGTTCCACACGATCAAAGCTATGGTTTTTCCAAAAGCAACGTACAGCTGTGAGAGTTGGACTGCGAAGAAAGCTGAGCACCGCAGAATCAACACTTTTGAATTGTGGTGCAGGAAAACACTTTCAGAGTCCCTTGGACAGCAAGGAGATCCAACCAGTCAATTCTTAAAGAAATTAATTCACACTATTCACTGAAAGGTCAAATAATGAAGCTGAAGCTTAAATAGTTTGGCCACATAACAAGAAGACAGGACTCACTGGAAAAGACCTCGATGTTGGGAACTGAAGACAAAAAGAAAAGGGGACAGCAGAGGATGAGACGGATGGTGTTATGGAAACGATGAACGTGAGCTTGGACAGAGTGTGAGAGAGAGTGGAGGACATAAGGGCCTGGCATGCTGTGGTCCATGGGGTCATGCAGAGTCAGACATGACTGAACAACTGAAGAACAGCAGCGGAATGACGCAATGAGGAAGATAAACATGGCAGCTGGTGCACAGGATGAATGTCTGCTGCTGCAGGCCAGCATGGGGCTACCATCTTACACTGAGCTTAAAGCCCACTACCTGGGTGGCACGTTAGCCTACTGCTGTTCAAACTGTGAGTGAACTGGTCTCGCTACTCTGGAAAGCAATGGGCAGTTTTTCTAAGAAAGTGCCTAAGATGTCTATGTTCTTTGGCCCAGAGATCCCACTGTTAAATTCATACCCTAACAAGGTCAAAGATAAAAAGAAAGGCCCATATAGACTGAAATATTTACATCAGCACTCTTTGTAATAGAAACAATTAGAGAACAGCCAACAGACTGTGAGACATGAATATGATGGATTAGCATTGCACTGTAAGAAATGCAGAATATGAAGAATTCAGAAAAGCAAAGGAAGACTTATATGAACTGAGGCAATATGAAGTGAGGGGAACCAAGAAATCAATATACCCAGTGACTTTAACGATGGAAATGAAAAGAACCAAAAACACTGAAACTGAATGCTGTCGAATTATGAAGGCCAAATCTTGGCTCAAAGGAAGGGATATGAGAATGCACACCCCTACCTTCTGTGTAGAGATGGGACACTACTGGTGTGGAATGCTACGTATAATGTGGAACTTGGTTAGTTTTGTCAAACTCTTTTTTTTCTTTGTTATAAGGAATTGTTCTCTGAGAAAGGAAGGAGGAAGGTCATACTGGGAAACTAAAGTGATGTAAAAATAAAAGGCATTAATAAAGATTTTCTTAAAAGAAATGAATATCAGGGCAGCGAGGAGGCGCAGTGAATAGAGCACCAGCCCTGGATTCAATAGGACCTGAGTTCAAATCTGGCCTCAGACACATAACACTTACTAGCTGTGTGACCCTGGGCAATTCACTTAACCCCATTGCCTAACCCCTCCCCCCCAAAAAAGAAATTAATATCATGGAAAAACAAAGGGCGTAGATTTTTTTAATGATGCCAGAATGGGCTTAATGGCCCCCTTGGTGGCAAACTTTAAGACTATCTTAATTTTCTCAGTTTTTAATTAACTCCTTTTCATTTCCAACACCTTGACCAAGGCGTTGTATACTGAATAGTGCACTAGATTACTAGGAAAGGCAGGGGATGACCTCCCCATCCTCTGCCCAAAGGTCAGGTACCAACCAGGCCACAGCTCTTCCTAGCTCTCAAACCTTCCTGACTCTGAAGCCCCAAGCTTATCCTTCCTAGCCTCAGATACCCTGCGGCATCTGTTACAAGCAACGGCAGCATGGCGTAAAGGACATCCTCACTGTCACCCAGTCCCAAACAACACTCCCTGGGACTCCAAAGAGTCCTAACTCCAAGAGAGTCTGGAGTGGTAAGTGTGGACCAGCAGAGAGGCTGGGCAAGAGGCCTGAACCTTGGGCAGTAGAAAGAACAAAGGCTCTAGAGCCACTGAGTCTGCTGCTCAATCCCTCTAGATAAGACGAGGCCATGTGAATTCTCCACTCGGGGCCACA